GGTGGCTTCGAGACTATAACACTGAGCAAAGAATGTAGTGTCACTCTTCAAAAGTAACTTCCTTAGAAAATTAAGGACCAGGGTTGTTTTATTATTCCCTGTGCCATAGAGGAGAAATTTTTCAAGAAAGTCTTGTGTGACTTAAGAGCTAGCATCAATCGTATGCCCTTATCGATTTTTAGGATATAGGCTTAGGAGATTTTCAACCCATCACTGTAACCCTTCATCTTGCAGATCGATCTTTGACTTACTTTAGGGAGGTTGTAGAGGATATCTTAGTTAAGGTGGATAAATTTATCTTCGTTGTTGATTGCATGGTTCTAAACATGGAAGAAGATAATGAGATCCTTATAATCTTAGGTAAACCTTTTATAGCCACAAGAAGGGCGATATTTGATGTTCAGAAGGGGGATTTGACCAAGAAGGTTAATGATTATGAGGTGGCATTCAATATTTTGAAATTAACTAAAAGTCCACAAGACACTATGGATGATTCTTGTTATAGGTTAAACTTAGTGGATGAGTTGATTAGAAGCCAACTTCGAAACCTCAATAACCAAGTAGAGCAAGACTTGACAGAGGAAGATGATAATGACCCTAAGGAAGAATTTGCTCTATTGTTAGAAGCAATCCCTAAAATGATAGGGATATGTTTGAGATTTAGACACCTCAAATAATTTTAAACTCTTAATATCTATAATTGTAGCCCCTAAATTAAAACTTAAGGTTCTCCCAAAAATTTAAAATATGTATTTTTAAGAGGATCTTCTACTTTATATAACATTATTTCTTCTGAGTTAAATGAATTGCAAGAGGAAAATTTGATGCAAGTGTTGAGGAATTTTAGGAAAGCTTTTGGGTGGATTATAACATATATAAATGGCATTAGTACTTCATTATGTATGCATAGAATTTTGATGGAAAAAAATAACCAATCCAAAGCTGATCTCCAGAGAAGGCTAAACCCAATTATGAAAGAAGTGGTTAAAAGAAAATTTTGAAGTGGTTAAATGCAAGAATAATTTTCCCAATTTTCTAATAGATGGGTTAGTCTGATACATTATTTTCCTAAGAAATGAGGTGTGACCATAGTGGAGAACGACCAGAAAGAACTAATACCTACTAGGAGTGTAATAGGTCAGAAATATGTATAGATTAAAAGAATATAAATAAAACCACTAGAAAATATCATTCTTACCTTTCCTTGACTAGATGTTAGATAGATTGGTAGGACACCCTTACCATTACTTCCTGGATGGATATTTGGAATATCATCAAATTTATATAGCTCTCGAGGATCAGAATAAGACAACCTTTACTAATCCCTATGAAATTTTTGCCTTTAGAAGAGTGTCTTTTGGATTATGCAATGCCTCGGTTACTTTTCAAAGATATATGATAGTGATCTCTTAAATTTGATAGAAAAGGGGAAGGACTAAAATTTTAGTGAATAATTTCTATGTTTTCGGTATTTCATTTGATACATGTCTTGAACACCTTTTAAAGGTTTTGCAATAGTGTGAGACTAACTTAGAGTTGAATTAAGAGATGTCAATTTACGGTTAGCTAAGGGATTGTATTAGGGCATATGTTGTGGGAGAAATGAATAGAAGTGCATCAGGCTAAAATCCAAGTAATAGAAAAATTACTTCCACTCGCATCTGTTAGAGGGACTAAGAGTTTTTCTGGGCATGCAGGATTTTATCATAGATATATTCAGGACTTCTCTAAGATATATAAACCGTTATGTCATTTATTAGAGAAAAATGTGTCTTCTGAGTTTGATGAAAAATGTCTGGCAGCCTTTGAGTATTAAAAAAAAAATAGTCACTGCTAAGAAATTTCATTTGAACTAATATACGATTCTAGTGATTATACTGTAAGAGCAGTGCTAGGCCAACATAGAGAAAAGGATTTTCATGTGATACACTATGTGAGTACAACTCTTAATGAAACACAAATAAATTATATCATCACAGAGAAAGAATTGCTTGTGATAGTTTTTGCATTTGACAAGTTTAGATCTTACCTGATAAGTACTAAAATTAAAGTCCATATTGACCGCTCTACTATTAAATACATTGTAACTAAGAAGGATGTCAAATCTCAACTGATTCATTGGATACTTCTGTTATAGGAATTGATATAGAGATAGTGGATATGAAAGACATTGAAACTTAGGTAGCAAACCACCTGTCCCGATTAGAGTAGGAAAATTCTTCAAACTACACTTTTAAAATTTTGAAAGTCTTATACGTCATTGGAACCGCAACATATTCAAAAAAATAGACAAAAGTTGTGTTTTAAATATCATTAAATAAAATATTTGCATGATTCTTAGATTGCAAAAAACTCATGTAAATAATCAAATTTAGATTATTTAAGGCTCACTCAAATTTTGTAGTGCAATATTTCAACTCAAAAGTAATGCTTTAAAATTTTTCTAAGTATCCTAAAAAACTAATGCATTTGGCAAATGCATAAACACGTCAAGATGCGTGCACGTAATAAATAAAATGCATGTATGTGCTCCAATCAATGCACTTAATGCTTGAACATCTGATCTCAAAATACTGTGCAGCTTAACTTAATATTATTTAAAAATATTTGAATCCAAACAATGTATATACTAGGAGTGTAAACGAGTTGAGTTGAGTTTGAGCCATGCCAAGCTTGAGCTTGGTTCGTTTGTCAAATTGTGAGCTCGAACTTGAGTCAAGCTTGAATGGCGAGCTTGAGCTCTACTCATAGTGGTAGCACTTGTCTCGCGAGCTCAAACTAAAAATTAAATTTATACGGGAGCTCGCCGGAAAAAGATTTGGTGTCCAGAGAAGGATGCGGTGGCAACTCACCAATAAATGCATCGAAATGACTAGTGGTAGACTAATTGAGTCGATTCACGAGCCAGTGAGTACAGCCGGGACGAGCTCGAGCTCGTTAATAAATGAGCTCAAATTAAAGCTCATGGCTCGATAAGCTCAGCTCATGAGCTAGTTAACGAGCGGAGCTTGAATAGGCTCGGCTCATTTACACTACCTGCACATGCTCCAACAACTGTAAGCTTTTAAAATTATGCTCCGAAGATGTTGTGCAGATAACTAAAAATTGAAGTAAAAATCATCTATCATTGAGAAACCTACACACTATCAAAATTAATGCTCGTTTGTGCTCCGACTAGCTTATTAAATACTCAAGCATAATATTCAAGAATACTATAAGATCAGAACATATGTTTAAAGTAAAATTAGATCCATTTTAAGTAGCGTACAGGATCCTCAAATTTTACAAAATCTCTTTAGTCAAAAAGCAAATCATAATCATTAAGTTATATACAAACTCGAGCAGGCTACCATGTTTATAAAATAGAGTTGTAAGTCTCACTTAACAAGGACTAAAATTGGCAAGATTGACCTCTCACTTCAGTCGGTCCAATCCTACTCCTGACAAGATTATACAAGGTTGAGCATCACTTGCTTAGTTCAATTCTCTTTCTTATAAAAGTTGTAGTTGACAAGACTGAGCATGTACCTAGCCAGTCAGATTATTCTCCTGATAATAACCAGGGTTTATAAGACTGATGCTTCTATAAATGCTTGCAACAAAAGTTAATTGAATTATAAATATCCTACTTATGGTCATGTTGATTGTAAATCTTAATTAGAAAGATCTATTTTAAAATTAAACTCCAAAAAATATTTAAATAAACTTAATTTATTTAACTGATTCTTCATAAGTAGGACAAAGTCGTTAAGGTTTAAGATTAACTAAATCCTCGATGGTGATATATTCATTGCCTATCTTAATTAGATGGATTTATGCATAAAATTAAGTTTTTAAATTTTAAAATCAATAAAATATTCAAATGAAATATATTCTGCAATAAAGCTTAAAAAATCTCATCTACCTCCAAAATTATTTGTCGAGGATGAAAATTTAAGAATAACCTGAGCTCATAAGGGACCAATATCATATTAAAGATAATATTACATTCACACTCAAAATAATCTATATAAGTAAAAACATGGTTCGAGTCCTCTGTCGTGTTTTGGCCAGTAAGTTCCACAAATAAACTATTTATCACAATTTTTTGACCAGGTGATTTGGTGCAAGGGCCCGACAATATTATTATAGTTGCAACTACAATCCCTACGTTCCTCAACAGTTTTTTATCTCTTTGAGTTGTGAATCATAAAGTATATCTGATAGGACACATAGCCCTCTGTAAACTAAGGTTGATTTAAAATTTCTGTTTTTTAGACAAATATCTATCTCAAGTCTACAAGGTTTTATTGGACAAAGGAACCCAATGTTGTTGGCAATAATCCTTCGGTCAGGTTGGTTTAACCATCTACTCTGACTAAGTAGACAAGGGTTTATGATAACTCGGGATGACAGTACTATGAGATCTTGATCGGGTTCATCCTTATTCCCCCCATGGCGGTGATAAATTTATATAATTCAAAATTTTAAGTTTGTTACTATTATATTATATAAGGGCTTGTGCCTATGAAAAATCTTAAATCTCAAATTTTAAAAGTACATGCAATAAGAGAGTGAATTTTATGCAAAATGCATTGTGCCATTGGATTTCTGAAAATTTGACCCAAAATCTGACGTAAAACTCTCTCTTACAAGGGAGGCCGGGGTGCAAATTTTCAGAACCCAAATCCTTGTTCGCTTGGAAATATCACGTGTAAGTTCTTTACACCCTTGCTTATCACACTTTTCTGCTCAAATTTCCAAACTGAATTTAATGTTGTAATAAAAGATTTGAGTCAAAAGAGAGGGTGAAGTAAAAAGGAGAAACCTAAGAAATTATGTTTTTGTATAAATCTATATAATAAATTATGGAGTATCCTATGTCCAAAGCAAAAGGTTGAAACTACAAAAGACGAGCAAAACAGGCTAATCAAGACGCTAGTATGTAAAACAACAGTATAATGATAATATTATTCTAGGACATGAAATACAGGAAATAAAAAAGGAAAAAAAAGGGTTACCTGAAGAGAATCCTGGAAATCATTTAGTCTAAAGACATTTGCATCATCTGCAGCCCTGGAGATATCAACTTTCTCATGAAAAACAATGTAATTAGCTGTGTCATTAAAGCAGACAGCAATGAACAGAAAATCGATGCAGCAAGCTTGTGTGCAAGCTAGTCTGTATGGTGGTTGCTAGTCTAGTGTATATGTGAATATGCATACTCATATGGGAAGCACAAACCTCACAATAAATACATGCCGCTTCAATACTGCAAGAAATTCACGAACTCCTCCATTATAGAAGTACAGTGGAGGGAATGCAAGCCCTACATTAACCCACTAAACCCATGTTATCTTAATTTTTATATCAATAAAAAGTAAATCTGACACTTAAGCACTCAAATAAATACAGCGTTCTGGATAGAGCTAGATCCCAACACATTAAAAAAATCTTGGAGAAGCGTAATGCACAAGTTAGTTAGTTAAATCACACAGAAATGTTAACATGTCAGCAGCGTATCATTGATCTCAGGTGCATGAGCATAATAAATAAGTCCGAAACTAATATCTTCGACCTACTATGCATGCATTTGTGTCGGGGACATAAATGATAGCTGCAGAGATTGATTTTTTCAGAAGAAAGATTATGAAGAATCCAAGTCATATAAGGTGTTCAACTTTATCAAATTTACAAGTACTGAGTATACTTTTGCAGAAGGTCAAAAAAAAAAAAAAGTTTTATAGAGAATAAGTTTTCCTTTGTGAGCAATTATAGATATATAAAAAAATAAATAAGTGGATGCAACCATGCGTGATAGAAAGAGATGGATTACTGAAAATGCTAATACTAACATTAAGCTCACAAAAATAATATGAGAAAGTTTCACATCTTGAATGCTAGTAACGGATCTGAATAAAAAGTGGAAACAAATCAACAGCACAATTGCCTTGAAAGTTCCACGCTTGCATCCAAAGAATTGAGTAAGAAATTAAGAGAGTGCACGAAGCAAAACTAAAAAACAAAATATCAGGAAACTGGTTAAACACCAACTAGATTTACCTGATGAAAGGATTACAATTATATACTGCCATCCAATTGTTGGGATATGCCTTTTTATGGAATGGATATTAGCCAACGGCACTGATTTGATTGTGTACAGGTTCGTATCTGCATATAATCACAAAAAAAACTGAATTGGAGAGAAAGAATGATAACCCCAATCTAAGACAAAAATTAACAGTCAAGAAAGTTAAAATCACGATTCCTTCTAACCATTCTCTGATGCACTTGAGCTTAAATTATGCCCCGCAGTGCCAAGAAAATTAGACGCAGTTTTATATGGAATCCACGTCTGTTGCAATACATAGATGAGAGATCTTAACATACACCCTACCATGTCATACATTACAGAGAAAAGCCCAAATGTGAAGCAGCTGGCAATAGACTACAGTCCAATTTTAACCAAAGAAAGCGTACCAGCGGCAAGAAGAGAAAAAGGGGGTGAAAAAAAAAGGTAAACAAAAAAATAAGGCGTACCAAGAACAACGAAGAGCTCTGCTTAAGAATTCGCAAACGTCCGATAATCCGCTCCGAAGCGTTTTGGCTCGGGTGAATCGCGACATTCTCTTTCGAATAGACCAGCTCCAATTCATTGGTGTCGCTCGTCTGATTGGAATCGCGGTTCAAATTGCTAAACGAATCCTGTAGGATCGAATCCACTAGGTGTGAAGTAGCTGACCAGGAAAAGGATTACAGATCAGAAGAAAGGGTCGATTACTTCTACCTGACGCTGGGAGGCGGCGTAGTCCGGGTCATCGCAGAGATCATGTTGCTCCATCCCTTGTGTTGCTGGGGAAGCTGAGGAGAAGAAGGAAGAAAAACGATGGAGACTTGCGACGAGAGAACCGGACGGCAGTGCAGCAGTTGAGATTCTTATAGCAGGTCAGTCTTTAAGGAAAGAAGGCGTTGGCGCGCGTAGCGATAAAGCCGCGCGGGTCCACCAACGGAGAGGCCTGCACCGGCTATGTGGCGAGGAGTGGACTGCACTAAAATCCGAACTCTGGGAAAAAGAACTATAAAATAATGAGGTTGGAGCTTAGTTCTTGTTGATGACTTTGGGCTGTTTTTTTTCTTTTATGAATTTTATTGGATATCTTCATTAAATTTTTCTTATTATTTAGTTTGGTTATGAGCTTTGATGAGTTTTAATCAAAATTAAAACTCATTGAGATTTTAAATATTTTTTTATGTTCGGGTGAAATTTTAATTTTTTATTACAAACAGGTTTTAAATTCTGGATTATATGTCATTGTTCTGTTATGATGATTTTTTTTTTTTAGTTTTGAAGATGATTCTGTTTTGTTGTCTTTTATTTCTTCTAGGATATTTTGTTTGTTTTGGTCTCTAGTTTTTTGCTTTCTTTTCTGTATTTTTTACAGTTTAGAGATTTTTGGTTGTTGATTCTCCTTATGCAAGTGGTTGCGATGTTGATATTGAAGTTGTTGTTATTATTGTTGCTGATATTAGTTATTTGTGTTTGGTTTGTTTTGGTCTTGTAGTTTTTGCTACTGTTAGTGATGTGTTGTTAGTCTTGTCTATCGTATATGTTTTAGGATTGTTTCTCCTCACTTTGTGTGTGTTGTTCTGGGTTATTATTTAAGAACTCGATGTTGTATTCCATGTTTCTCTCAATAAAGCTAATCAAGAACCTCAATTTTTCTCAAAGAAATAATGAAATAAAAAAAAATGTGACATAAAACCTTGTATAATTTTTGGGGCATTTGCATACGTGAAATACAAATTGTAAATATTTTTATATTTAATATTTAAAATTTCTTATTTAACATGTTAATTTGCGCATGAGTGAATAGTACACATAAATATGCATAACTTATAATTAAAGATTAGATTAATATTAAGCTATCTCAAGAACATTATAAGATTAGTGTTACATATATATGCATTGGTAAAGATATTAAAGCACTAAAGATTATATTGTGTCATTCTTGATTCAAGCTCTCTCTCTCTCTCTCTCTCTCTCTCTATACACACACACACACACACACACACACACTAAGTGGGGTCGGCTACATGAATCATTTTTATCCATTGCGTCCTATTGAGTATCATATTTTCATTTAATTCTAATAAATTAAGATATTTCTAGGTCTACTTTTGTCTTTCTTCACATAAGTCAAATCTAAAATATCTACTCTCATAATCGGATCATCAGATGGTCGACGTTTAATGTGACCAAACCATCTAATGCGTCACTCTCTAATTTTGCCTGCCACTGGAGCTACACCAGCCCTATCACAGATATATTCATTTCGCATTTTGTCTCTAAGGGCAAAGCCACCCATCCACCTAATCATTCTCATCTCGATAACAGTTAACATTATTTTATGCTTCTCTTTTAAAGACCAACACTCAACGCCATAGAGCACTGCAGGTGTCACCACCATCTTATAAAATTTTTCTTTCAATCTAAGCGGTACTTTTGTATCACACAATAGGCCCTAAAGCATTCCTCCACTTCGACCAACTAACTTGAATTCTACTAATAACATCCCCATCTATATCACCCTCACTTAGAACAATAGACCCAAGATATCTAATGCATTCACTCCTTTTAATAATTTGATCGCCCATAGTTACAACTATGTCACTACAGCTACTACTACTAAAATTACATTCCATGTATCCAGTTTTAGTTCCATGTATCCATTCCATGTATCCAGTTTTAGTTCTACTCAAACGAAGGCCTTTAGACTCCAATGTTTTATAATTCAAGTTTTTCCCGAGCTTTCTCTCTAGTCTTATCCATGAAAAGATATCATCAGTGAATGGCATACACTATGGTACATTCTCATGTAAATGTCCAGTAAGAGAATCCATAACTACTGCAAAAAGATATGGGCTTAAAGCCGATCTTTGTTGTAATCCAACTAAAATAGAAAAATATTTAGTCAATCTTCTTTTTGTTCGAATACAAGTACAACTCTAGTATACATATCTTTGATGACTTGAATATAAGTAGTATCAACAACCTTTTTCTTAAGAACTCTCCGAAGGATATCTCTTGGAACCTTATCGTAAGTTTTTTTTCTAAATCGATAAAAAACATATATAGATTCTCCTTATTCTCTCTGAACTTCTCCATCAAAACTCAAAATAAATGTATAGCTTCCATAGTAGAATTGCCCGACATAAATCCAAATTGATTTTCAGAAATCTTTGTAATACGTCTTAACCTATGTTCAATTACCCTCTCCTATAATTTTAAAGTATGACACATCAATGTAATTTCTCTATGATTTGCATACTCTTGTGCATCCTCTTTATTCTTAAAATGGGGACCATAATACTCTTCCTCCACTCCTCAAGCATCTTTTTAGTTTTTAAAATAATATTAAAGAGTTTAGTAAGCCAAGAAACTCTCAAATCTCCTATATCTTCCCACACTTCAATTGGGATACCATTATGTCCTATAGATTTTCCACCCATGGTTTTCTTTAAAGCCCCCTCAACTTCTCTTTTACTAATGTCACAGTAAAAATCAATATTATCAAATGCTATCTTCTCGTTTCGTTGCTTCTTTAATTATTCTTATTTATGTCGATGTTTGTACTTAGTGGATTTCACTTGCAATGTTTGTTTCTTATAAACTCACTTCGATTAATTTTTATGTTTTTCAAATTTTTAGTTGTGGATCATCTAAGAAAAATTATATATTTTTGCTTCGAGTATATCTTCAAAGATGGTTAAGTTTAGATTACTTAATTTGTTTTATCAGTAATTTATTTCTTAAAATAATTATAGTACTAGTTAAATTCTAATTATGTTTGGTAGAAAATTTGGAAGATGTTACTAAATTTATATGCTCTTACAATCTTGTTGGTGGATAAAAATTATTTAAATCATATATTTTTATTTTTAATTATTGTTTTATTTTCAGCTCACATCTTATTATTAATTTTCTTTAATTTTCTTCTAGGCCCAATAACAACACCATACTTTATACTCTTATATTATAATTTGATTACCACTCTTTTAAATACCATATGATTCGATTATATATTTTATATGTTAAATACTCTAATCAAGGAAAATCATATTAAATTTATGTACATGAATAATCATTAATTATCTAGTCACATGACAACTACAATTATTTGATTGGTCTCCTATATGAGCTAAAAGATTCTTTCATTCTAGCATTGATTTCAATTGAATTAGAATCTCTATTCAAGCTAAGTCATATAACATCTTTTATTTTTTACCAAAGTCAGAGCCCTTAAAATGGACCCTTGCAACAAGTTTATATCATAGTCAGAGCACTTTAATTGGACTCTCTTTGTTGGGGGGTAAACAAGTTCAGCTTGAGCTACTCCAGTGTTTTTCTTTGTTTGACTCGTTTAGTTTTTTTTTTTTTCCTTACTTTCTAAATAGGCTCATATTCAAAATGGAATGATACCAAAGTTAACCCAACAATAATAAAAGCTAAAATATCACTACTGCAATTCAATTAGGGAATTACAACCAGACAACAAAAATATGAAATAACAACATGACACACTACCAGGTTGGATCCAGAGTGATGGTGGTGGCTGTTAAGAAGCTTGGAGAGGTGGTGGCAAGCTAAGAAAGGGGGTGAACTGCAAGGAAACTATGATAAGATGGTGGTGGTTTGTTGTTTTGGGTGAAAACAAACAAGAATGGTGAAGTCAATTGAGGGCACATCAATTATGTTGTGAAGGAGGTTGTTTAGGTGGTTGGAACATCAATAAAGATGCATGTGGGATGGTTTTGAGCTCCTAGAACAACAAGGAAAGCACAGGGAAAGGCCTGAAATAACAATTAGGTAACGACTGAGGGCCAAAAATGGTAATGGGGAAGGATGGCCAAAAATGGTAATGGGGAGGGAGGTAGGGGTGACTGGAAGAGAGGGAGGTGAGTACAGAAGGTGTGTACATAGGGGAATAGTAGAAAAATAGCTATGGGAGACTATCCAGTGGTTGCAATATGGAAGGAAAATGGTGACATCGAATGAGGAAAGGTTAGGGCAAGAATATATTAATACCTCATGAGCGAGATGCAATCAAAGCACTACTCAATCCCTGGATATACTCTTTGAAGGGGAAAAGGAAATGCCAACGACTGCCCCGAACAAACTCACAAAAAAAAAATTAAAAACCTAAATCATGAAAAATAATTATAGAATAATATGATAATTAGGTGTAGCCCAAGAGAATCAACCGACTTCTAAGAAAAGAAAAAAAAGCCTAACTGGTTCAGTCCAAACGTGAAAGGAGCGCCACATTTCACATTAGTTTTTTGGGTTTGGGAGAGTTTTTACCTCAATCGTCAAAGCTCATGTGTTCTCATAGTATGACATCTGAAATGTCAAGTTGAAAATACAATAAAATAATATTAATATATTAAAAGAAAGATCTAACTATCATAGCCCAAGAAACTATCTATTTGTTCTGCATGTTAACTGATTTAGCAATATCCGACATTTACTAAAAAAATTTCCGTCCCGACGATGGACGTGATACACTTGCGAGGAAAAAAAAAAACACCTCGCCTGTGTATCGCTTCCATCATCCGGACATATCTTACATCCGGATGACGACGTACTCAAAATTTTCTCCACATTTATATGCAAAGAGAATAAAGATAATTTCAAGAAATTGGGGCTCTTAAACAAAACTATTAAGTGTGTGCATCTTCTGCCTCATCTCAATGCTTCGAGTTCGTAAATATTTTCATCAAAAAATATATTTTTTAAGATTTTGTCATTTAATTCAATATTATTAGAAATAATAATATTTACATACATACCTCTCCATTCTCATGTATTTACATATATAACACTTAAAACTTTGATTTTTATATACATATCATCTTACATATGCTTAAAAATGTGTATTTATTTATTTTTTAATTAATAATATTCTTTATGCGATATGAAAGATTTGGATGGTATAAATGTAAAAAAAAAAGTAAAACTTATGTGTCAGATATGCAAATACATAAGAATTGGGTGGAATGAATGTAACTGCTGCAAATTAAAAACATTTTAGGAAGATTTACATACATTCCACTTAATTTCTATGTATTTACATATCTGACACCCAAAGTTCAATTTTTATATGCCACCTCATCCATTAACGAAAAGATGCATTTCACTTTTTAAACCTTAAAATAATAATAATTTTGATGTGAGATGAAAGATTTAGATGTTATTAAGGTAAAAAGTAACATCAGTGTCAGAAATATAAATACATAAGAATTTGTTGGTATATATGTAAATACCCCAACAATTGAATAATCTACATGCTAGTTTGCTTAACGAGCCGAACACGAGCTGTTCAAGAACAAAGAGTCCTTTTAACAGCCCTAATCACGTAGCCATAAGACGATAAGGGTTTGAGCAAGATTTAAAAATTATTATTTATATTAAAACATCATTTGAATCCAATTTAAGAATTTTTATTTTATTTTCTTAATTAATATTTTAATTGATTATAAATCTTTATAGCCTTGTAATCAATTAATTTTTTTTAAAATACTACTTATATATATATATAAACTTGATGAGTAGTATTTTGAGCCAAAATGAGCCTAACACGAACGAACACATCTTTGTTCGTGTTCGGCTCGTTAACTTATTGAACAAAATTAACGAGCCGAACACGAACTTCTTAACGAGTCGAACACGAGTTGTTCGCGAACAACGAGCCGTTTTGCCAGCCCTACTTAACACCATAGCCCAATATATTTCCACAGAAATTACAACATCCATTCTGGGAAACACAAAATCAAACATGTACAAACAATTCCAGTTTTTCTCCACTCGAACTCTTTCCTATCAGCACCAAAACACAAGAAAAACCAAACCTCGAGAGGAAAACAGACAGCCAGGTTAAATTATCCACTGTAAAGTTTGATTCTTGGCTACAACAATGATACATCCACAGTTCTTCCCCAAACATATATACTGACCAAAAATTCACCTTGTTTCAACGACTTCAGAAATCTGATCACTATCCTGTTTCACATCTCCTTTCAATGAATCTTTCCCCTCACAAACACCATCAGAACTGTCAACAGCAACTGAAAAACCTCGATTTCTTTTCATGATTTCCGGCTGGAACATGACATCATTCTCCAGATTCGTCAGTTTTTCCTTCAACTCTCCTTTAAGCAACCCCACCACTTCCAGCATTGTAGGCCTTTTCTCAGGAGTGCCATGAGCGCAGACCAGTGCAACCAGCACCATCCTCTTCATCTCAGCTTCCACAAAGTTGCCATTCAGTTTAGGATCTGCCATTTCATTGAACCTCCTCTCTCTCGCCAGTGGCAGTGCCCAATCAGTGATGGATCGCTTCACAGTTGGGCTCAGCTTCTCCAATGGCTTTTTCCCGCTAGCAAGCTCAAGTAATAGTATTCCAAAACTATAGACATCGCAGCTCTCAGAAGCCTTGCCAAACATGGCATATTCAGGAGCAAGATATCCAAGAGTACCTTTCACTCTTGTGGTGACGTGAGTTGCACCATCAGGAATTAGCTTGGCAAATCCAAAATCAGCAACCTTTGCCTGGAAACTGGAATCCAGTAGAACATTGCTTGCTTTTATGTCCCTGTGGATGATATGAGGTGCTGCGTGGTGGTGAAGATAGCTGCAAGACAGGAACGAGGAAATCAGCGAACCTAGTTGAAGTGAGAATGATGGGTTTGAACTTTAGAAGGGTATATACCACACAATGCTTATATATTTACATAACTAATACCTACACTTGAATATGTATTTCAGTTTTATAATATGCAAATATTTAATATCACATTAAAAAAAAAACACTCTTGTTAACTTTTTAAAACTGAAGTGCACATTTTCATGCATAGGTTCGTAACTCCAAAGTATTATAAATGTAAATATCAAACTTTAGGTGTTAGATATGCAAAGAAGTTAAGCATTATGTGGTATGCATATAATTTCCCTCTTTTAAAATGGTTCAGGGGCTTACGCAATGCCCTCAGCTGATCCTACAGCGATACTCATTCTTCTGCCCCAGTCGAGAAGGCATTCTGAAGAATGCTGTCCGTGAAGATGCGACAGTAAGCTTAAATTAGGCATGAAGTGATAAACTATTAATCGCTCCTGTCCTTCGGCACAATATCCTCGCAAGCTAAGAAGGTTTCTGTGTCTCACCCTTCCCAGAATCTCCACCTCAACGGCGAACTCCAATTCAGCCTTGTTACTCCATACTTTTAAACGCTTGACAGCAATCTATGTGAAACATGAAAGGAAGCTCCATATTCAAACAACTGAGGGAAAATTTTATAGAATAAGTGGAGGCATTTGAGGGATAAAAATTGAAAACTTAAAAGAAATATATGCCAGCGCTCAACACAAAAACAAAAGACATGCCCGCACTAGAGAGATCTTTTTAGTTCTTTTTGGTATTATAATATAGATAAATTGCATACAAACATATAATATAACAATATTCCCCAGGCATTTGTCAAAATTCCAACATTACAACGCAACCTTCTTTTCAAAAACAATAGTATTAATGCAGTTTAATTTATTGTAAAACTAACAGAAACATCAAAAAGCACAGCAATACAAAGTGGCATCATCATACGAAAGAGCACAAAAGTATGTTCATAAGTCATTTTCAATGGCGTTCTTTTTTTTATTCCAATGTTTAGGTGGGTGAGGATGAGCCGGCTAGATGGCTGTGATATTGTAGCTTTTTAATATTTTAGACCAAAAAAGTAAGGCTGGAGTTTCTGCATCATCTGCTTTTTTTTTCTACCATTTCTGTAGGCTCTTATCTCATTTCTTTCCTATTGGATGGCCATGTCTTTGAAACATGGATTTACAATGGAATCATGTCATAAAAGCAGATTTTGAAACTTTTGATGGGAATAGAACCCCTTTGCATATATAATTCTTCAGTATCTAGCCACTTCTGGATGGAGCAACTTCAGAGAACAACGGAGAAAATATTAGCAGTAAAATTCAAATATTTGCAAGGGCCTAGCTGCAAAAATGATAATCAGTGCTTTGCTCAAATCAGCTGGCATAAGTGGAAGCAGCATTTATTACTTCAAATCATTGATAAATGATAGAAACCTAGACCTCATTATTAATTGTTAGAAAGGATTAATCAAATGGGGAAAAACTTAAGAATGATACCTCATCAAAGCCATATTTAACCCAAAAGCTTAAACTTGAGGGTGAGAACAAACCAGCAGGCATTTTTACGAATAGCATGATAACTTGTCCCAATTGAACCTATTTGTGAAACCACTTTTTAGAGAGGATGGGCAAAAGTGGGGCCTACTAAATCAATGATTAAACTCCATATTCAACACAAAAGCTTAAGCATATGGGTTCGGGCTAATCATTTAATATTTTTACTCACATATTTTTCAAATATCGAATGGAACAAAATCCAAATCTCCAATGTCTAAACATTAAACTGCAGGGTTGATGAATTATAACAGTGGACTATAATAGAATCTCTTTGACTTATACTGTAAAGTTAATTTGGGTATTTGAATTCACTCTACAAAATAAGAAGATACCTCCTACAGAGCTAAAAATCATTGGATGAGAGAAGCTAAACTACATTTTAAGTTAATTTTGAACTCCATTCAGAGCTAAAAATCAATTTAATTCTACCCTGATTTGCTTGAATATAGACCAAATCGATTGAAATATGATAGAAAATGAGAATTAGCATAAAAAATATGATTTGTATAACAAGATTAGTTGGAATATATATATATATATATATATATATATATATATATTAATTTCAAGTTGAGCCAAACTCGATAGGACTTGGACTTGATATTAGTCATGCTACTTGGCATAAATAAACTGGCCAACTTCTCTGTCAAATCATATAAAATTGAGTCCATGTGTATAATACATGGTCTCCAAGATTTGGCAAGACGATATGAGCTAGTAAAACATAAAAACCAGAGATAGAATTTAGCATTTTAAAAGAACTCGTGATTGTTAATTTTTAATCTCCCTACATTTTAGAATAACTATTCCTTAGTTATAAAAGAACATAATAGTGCAAGAAGTCTAACCAATGTAAGGTTTAGGGAAGTGTCGATAAATAGTCTTAAGTATGCATTGCAGAGAGACTATTTTCATGACTAACACATATCCTCTATGTTAGAATGGACGTAACTTAACCACTGGTCTCGGGCCGCCCTTCCTTTTATTCTTCTAAAACATTATTGCCAAAATGTAAGGATAAACATAGCTTTAAGATATTTAAATACAGTAAAAATTTCAACATCCTATTTTTATAGTAGCAAAAGTAGAAGCCAAAACATGAATTAATTAAAAGTTGTTAATTGAATAATCAAACTCCTCCATCCTTTGCCTTGGATCCTCATTTGCATACTGCGGGCGACGCACAGGTGATATCTCATTTTGTATCACTCAATAATATAACAATGTTGTGCTAGCACTAAGCATATAATTTCATAAATTGAAAGATATTTTCATTATTTAATGGAAAAATAGCAATATTAGCCTTCTACTCGGGAGATAGTAATTCGGATCCCAATATAATTCCACCATAGAAGCATTTAGGGAGATGCTTCTGTAATTTACACAATAGCAATTGGTTATGAGGTTTCTTCTTCTGAAAAATACTCATAAAAAAGCATTATCATTCTATATAACTTCATTCCTCAGCCATCTAGACATCTACAACCCCAAATAAGTGTTATTAAATGTTTGTCCAAATATTTCACAGAAGAAAAAACTCAAGCCAATGCATATCAACATCAAAAAAGAAAGAGTGAGCAACCAAAATAGTACTTTACAAACAATAAATTTGTTGACTGGATAACAATCTAATTATGATTCTAGACGTTACCATTCCTTTTATAATTCAACCCAAGGAGTTTAGCTTTGGAATAATACACAAAACAAACGATGCTTATCACACAGAATTCATATTTAACCTACAACATAACTATACCTAACCTTTCCCTTCCTTTGAGTTGCTTTCACAGAATTCAATAAAAAAAAGCAAAATCAAAGATTCTAATTTCAGAACCCATTCTAAAGGAAGCTTATATCAAAACATAGTAAGAAATTCCCAGAGCCGAAACTCATAGATAGACAAATACCTGAGATCCATCCCAGAGTTGACCCCAATAAACGCTCCCAAATCCCCCTTCACCTAGTTTGTTGTCATAATTGAAGTTGTTCGTGGCCGCATGCAGCTCTTTGAGGGAAAAAATCCTCCATGTGCTGGACTTCCTCCCCTCACTCCTGCGATGATAGCCCTAGCTTTCATCAACATTCCAATCACCAATAACAACCACAGCCAAAACAAATCTGAAAAAAAAAAGGTGGGGAAGTGAAAGGAGACCCAAAACCCACCGGTCGGAAGAGTTTCCGCAGCAAAGGGAAGAGAAGAAAGACATCTGACTTAGGTCCTTCACCTCAACCTAGCTGTAAAAAGCAAAACGGCGAACAAGTTAGCTTCCTTCAACCATGACGGCGAGCTAATCAGAGAGAGAGAGAGAGATGCCAAGGTAGTGGGAGAAAAGGTAGAATAGAAAAGCCCAAAGGCGAAAAAATGGACTTTCGTGATATATACGAACGCGCGTGCTCCGGTGGCTACCGAGCGCGATGGGGTGCGCTGCAGGTGCACTGATGCCATGATTCAACTTCCTCTTTCGTCTAGCCAGGTCAAAAACTCTCTTTTTTTTGGGCTCAGCCAGCTTGCCCAAAAGGCAATCTTTTACATCAACTATATTTTTTTTAAGGGATAATTAGATAGAGTCCACCTGAAATATTGATATTTATAAATGAATGATTTAAGTATTTTTTTTTAATATTGAACTGATGTATTTACGTGTATCACGATTAAATCATTGAGAATTTATAAAAATAAAAAAAATATGATTTGTAGTTTTATCATGCATTTTGATATTTGAGTGACTATTTGAAAATTGGATAAAATAAGGCGCTTGAATTGTAAATAGAAAATTTTGGGTGATTTGTATGTGATTGCCTTCTTTTTTAATGTATGTATTTATGTATGTGTATGCATATGAATGTATATTCATCAATGCATACATGGACTTATGTTTGCATATTTTGTTAGTCTTCTAACCTAACTAGTTTGTTGTAGCCCTCATGGCCTCTCCTTGATTTTACTTTCCATGCCATGTGTATTTCTTTGGTAAATTCTTAAAGGATGTATGGACCTTTTTTTTTCTCCACTTGCAACATTCTCACATCCCATCACCCACGATTATCATTCAACCCATTGTTATTTTTGTAAGGCCCTAGTACTTAATATTTATTATTTCCTATATGATTTGAATGTATTATCTAAGGGATAGTGTGAACCTGATTTATGACTATTTATTTTTATTAGGCATCATTTTTTTTAGGTTTGTATGGCATTTATAAGTAATAAAACAATACATTAAAGTTTTATCAAGATAATTGCCTTTCTCTAAGCAACTTAGAAGCTTGATTGAGTTTTTTGTAAGTGCCATAGTGGATTTGAGTCAAATCAAGAAATTCAAGAGCCAAAGTATTTATGTGGGGTTTCCTAGCATTAGTAGTGGAACCAGCATTGAATTACGAGTATTAAGGTGATTATTACCTATTTTAACAGAGTTCACGGCAAAGGTCTTAATCTCAAACTCTTGGAATCCTATGTAAGCTAAATGTGGTCAGCCATTACAACAATTTGAACCCCAATTTCTTAGCTTTCCTATGTAATAGTCTTCTTCTATGTTATATAGGGGTTGAGCCAATATGAAGATAAAGAGGATTTTCTTAAACCAACCAATCATTATTGAGCTTCATAGATTTTTATGGTACAACCTCTTGACCTTAGCATAATTTTATTTGAGGAATGTTGATATTATATTATTTTTATATCAACTCTTAGAAAAAATTATGTGTATTTTTGAATTGTCGTTATGACTTATTATGAACTATGAAATGATGAAAGGAATGAATTAGAATATTATGAGCGTGTAAGAAATATCATTATGGAGTGTACTAAAAATTTTAAAAGAATGATGGTTTTAAGGTAAAAATACTTCTACTGTTTGCAGTTGTTTGCACTACAAAGATGAAAAACAATTAATTGAAGAATCAATGAAGCTTAGAGCACAGCTCAAAAGTACCAAAGAACAATATATTGGAAATATAATGCTATTCAGGTAAGACTGTTACTTGAAATAAGAAATATGTTGTGCCAAAAAAGGAGCGAGCAAGCTATAATCATAATTTAAATGATATCACTTAATAATAATAACACATCAATTTATTAATCTATTAATCAAACTTTCAGAGGTAATTGTAGCATATCATATATATTGAATCAAAGGTAAAATTTATTTATGAGTAACTAAATAAGGGAGCACACAACAAAATAATTAGCTCAATCATTAAAACTCAAAACACCAAATTTTTTTAAGGCAATTATACATTTGTACACACCATAAGGATAATGATTATAAAGATATTATTTTAAAAATTATAGCCTATCAAAAGTAAGCATGAGTGTATGATTAATCTATGACAATAGCTTAAGAGTACTAGTAAATGGATCTTCATATAAGCAAGTAAAACATCAAAAGCAAGCAAAAATATAACAATAAAAATAAGATATCAAAAGACTGAAGGAGTTTATGTGTTTCAAAATTTAGTTATCTTACATCAACACCTAAGTAATATCATTACAACCCCAACTTATACAAAAGAAAAAAATTTCTTTATAATAGCATAGCCATTATGCTATTGTATTATTCTCTCTGAGCACAAATACAAGCACAAACACATTTTAATGTGTTATATTTTTATTTATATTTTGTTTCAAATTTATTCACAACTAGTTTTAGACCAGAACAATTATTTTTTTGTTATTGAAAATGTTAATATAGACAAAACACCGCTTTGAATAATTTTTTTTTTTAAATCTTGAAAATTAAAAATCACGGTAACAAGCAAAACTCATCTAAGAGAATAAATGTGAAGAAGGGAAAAAAGTGAGGGAGTTGTTATTTAAAATTTAATTTCCCGGTACGAACCAAATTGAGCCAAGTATGATATTATTTAAATTTATTTATTTTATATTTAACTTAGATTTAACTTCAAAATGTTCTAAAATTTAAAATCTTATTTTTAGTAGAATTATGTACAATCCACTTTCAATAGCCTTAATTTTTTATTAAAACTAAAATGATCTAACTTTTATGAGTTTTTGTTATAATGATGCATGCTAGAAGATTAATGGTTGTAGAGTGAATAGTTAGTGTCTTAGTATTGTAAGAAATTCTAACACATATTTAGATAATCTAAGAGTAGTAGCTAAGAGGAGATACCTCAACTTTTTATTTGGAAAGCTCTGGAAAGGGGAATAAACCACATAGCTTTATGCAGTTGAAATAATTCATCATGTAATTGTGAGTACTTATGCTCACTCTTCTTCTGAATTAGGGAAGGTGGAATGAAAATTTTGACGTGCAATAATATTTCAACAATGATAGTTCTAACGGGGCACAAAGGTCACAATCAATTGCTATGGAGGCAGTAGTTCATCGTGAATGTTGCAGACTTTACTCGTAGTATCAACTTATTTTAAAGGCTATAGTTTAAAGCCATAATAGTTATTGGTCATATGGGTCGTAGATGGTTGTTTCGGGAGCATCGGTTGGATACATAACTATATTAGGGAGTTACAAAAGCTAATATAACATTCGTAGGCCATCGAGTTAGAGTTGAGAGTTGCATGAACTAAGATAAAGTTTGTAGGCCACAGTAGCCAGAGTTGGGAGTTGCACGAGCTGAGATAAAGCTCGTAGGAAGCGGAGGCCGTATTTGGGAGCGAAATGAGCTAAGATAACATTTGCAGGCCAAATAGGCCAAAGTTAGGAATTGCATGAAGAGAGATAATGCTCGTAGGCTGCAGAGGTCATAGTTGGTAACTGCCAGAGCTAGTATAACATATGTAGACCATAAAGACAAAAGTTAGGTGCTACATAAACAGTGGATCGCTTACACGATAGTTGGTCGCATAAGTCGTAATTTGTCACGTAGATTGTAGTAGTGTGTTATAACGAGAGAACATTTGGGGTCCAAAAAAAGTCATCATATCATGAATATGATATATATATATATATATATATATAGACACACACACACACACACACGTGTATGTGCGCGCGTGCGTGCGTGCGTATATCAAAATAACTAATTGCAAGGGATCTAATGCCCCTGTCATTATTAAAATCATAGAGATCACTTTGTAAAAATTGGGTAATCTAAGCTCTGAAGTAAATACTTCTATTTATTTACTTACTTATTTTCTCATATTGCCGAGCTGGCTAATCGACAAATTAACATTCGTTAATAAACCAGACTTTTGTCTTGTGTTTGGTCACTTTTCTTGTCTTCTGAATTTAGAATCACACTTTGCTCAATTTAATCAACAACAGTAATAATATTTAAATCAAATGAAATTTCTTGGTGAAAAGGCTTATTAGAGACCACCAAGGTTAGCGCTTAAATAAATAAATAAATAAATTTTACTTACAAGTCACTTAATTCTTATGTATTTACACATTTAACATCTACGTTTTAATTTTTATTCAAGTATCACTTTACCCATGTGTTTCCTTACTAAAAATTTAAATTGATTGGTCATTAAGAAATTTGTATCATCTAACATGAATTTCGACTCTATATTTTAATTTATGATCATTCAGGCACTGATTTCTACTTTTGTCTTGTCAAACTGGCTGTCTTGACAAAGCAAATCTGATCATATCAAAGTTGGATTACTTCTGGTCTAGTCAAGCTTAGATCAAACCATTAAAGCGCATTTGGAGGGTTTCGATCATTATTTAAATAGTCAAAAGAGCTACAAATTTGACATATTTATAGTTAAATCGAGCGTCCCGACAAAAAGAATTCAAAAAGCCTAGGATCACTCAATTGCAAGGTCATTAAAGCTTTCAAATCATCAGAAATATCACAATAAAAGTAGTGGTATTTTTTTATGTGATATTAAATATTTTAGTGATACAAATATCTAGACTAGGGCTGTCAATTTGGCTCGTTGTTCGTGAACAGCTCGTGTTTGGCTCGTTAAGCAGCTCATGTTCGGCTCGTTCGTTACGCCTAACGAGCCGAACACAAACAAATTTTTAAGCTCAAAATGTAAACGAGCCAAACACGAACAACAGTTTGTTCGCTCGTGTTCGGCTCGAAATGACTCGAAAAAATAAATTATATAACTTTTTATATAACAATATATTACATATATTATTTATATAATAATATATTATATATATTTATGTCTAAGTTTAAATCATAAAACCTCATGTGACAATGTGGTTAGTTTCTTCTTTTGTATAGGTTTGATCCAGGTTCGAATCCCACACTTTATATCTATTTTTCTCAATTTTAGTTTAAGGAGCCAATTTCGAGCCGAACAAGAACACACTGTTCATGAGCCGATTTCGAACACGAACTATTTCGAAAAAGCCGAACACTAGTCAAGCCCGAGCTCGCTCAAGCTCGGCTCGTTTACAGCCCTAATCTAGACATGTAA